ACACACACACACACACACACACACACACACACACACACACACACACTGAGCAGGGGCAGAAAAGCAGCAGTATTAGCAGTAGTGGGCAGTCAGCAGTTTGCACTGACCCGTTGTAAAGCCCGGTTCTTTTGTCAGCCGGTGCTGGAGGTTTTATCTGGGCCTTGTTTTTGGGCTTAGGGGGGGCCGGACTCTGGATGTTGGTCAGACGCAGCAGCAGCAAACACGTCATAAACATGTCAGCTTGACTTGGTGATGAGAAGTTTAAAGTTCATTCTGATTCGTTGAATCAGGGGACAACATGAGAAACATGATCATTACTGTATTTAATTTTGTTTAATACTAGTTTTTTACTCACCCAGTAAAGAGCAGTAAATGATGATCTTTTGATTAGCTGCTACTGATAATTAGAACAAGGATAACTTGTAAATATTCATATGTGAAATTGTAGTGAGAAAAATATTCTTATACAAACGAGTAAAAACAAAATCATGATGTTTCATTTTATTGGGGCACTAAGTGGCGGGCCGGATGGAAGTCACCTGCAGGCCACATATGGCCCGTGGGCTGCCAGTTTCCCACCCCTGCATTGAATAGCTGTGGAACTGTTGGGTAAGCAAATACACTCACTACAGTTAAACATTGCAAATTAAAATCTTGATCTCAATGGGTTTAATCTGGTTAAATAAAGAAAATGAAATAAGACCAATTTTTTAAATATTTTGTCTTTACAGTTCGACACTAGTCATGTAAAAATGCTAATTTTCCCCAATAAATTATTCATTTCAAAGACTTCCGAAGTAACATTTCAGTTTAGTTTTTCCCTACTTTTAAGAGTTTCTTCTTACTTAATATAAATTCATATAATATATATGAGATTATGTGAGGTTTCATCAGCCTTCAGGAGGATAAACAGGCTCTTTCCTTCAACAAACCAGTGTTTGTGTGCAACTTGCCTCAGTTAAGCTGTATAAAGTGCAGAGTCGTTGATAGCTGAGTCACTGAGGATGAGTCAGCGTGCGCGCACACACACACACACACACACACACACACACACACAC